GGTTCTAGTACACCCCATCACAGGGTCATATGATATCTGTCGCACAACATGATGTATTTATGGGAGAGAATATGGGCATTCATATTTGAGCAACCATCTCCAGGTTTGGGCAACAATGGAGTTAGTCTTACTAGTATAATCTTGGGCCAAGGGAACTACCCCAAAGGGAGTAGGAAGCAGGTTTAAAACAAACAAAAGGAAGTATTTCTTCACACAATGCAGTCAACCTGTGGAACTCTTTGCCAGAGGATGTTGTGAAGGCCAAGACCATAACAGGGTTAAAAAAATTACTAGATAAGTTAACGGAAGATAGATCCATCAATGGCTATTAGCCAGGAGGGGCAGGGATGGTGTCCCTAGTCTCTGTTTGCCAGAAGCTGGGAATGAGCAACAGGGGATGGTTCACTTGATGATTACCTGTTCTGTTCATTCCTTCTGGGGCACCTGGCATTGGCCACTGTTGGAAGACAGGATACTGGGCTGGATGGATCTTTGGTCTGACCCAGTATGGCCGTTCTTATGAGAGTACAAAAAGGGAGTTAGAGGGCAACACAAAGGCTAATAGTCAACCCTGGAAAATGTTCCCAGAAGTGTATTTAAGGAAGAGTAAGAACTGCTCATGTAAATGATTGTTTATGGTGATAATTTAGAAGAAATGGGTCAATCACCATAATATAGAAGCCTTCCATGAGAATCTGGTTAACCAATGGGAAAGGGAACAACTTTTTTAGCTCCTCTCTTCAGCTTTATTCAATTCAAAGAAACAGAGAGATCTCCAAAAATGCACATGCAGAAGCCTCCATGTGCCAAATTGCAGCTGTACCTTTAGAAGACAGCTTGGGGTGCCAGACAGTACAAGTTTGCTCATGTAAGATTAACGGGATTAGGTCTCTATGGCAAATTGCAGTATGGTCCTTGGAATAAGATTCTCATTTACTAAATAAATTACTGTATATTACTGTATAATGACATTCACATTATAACTGACAATTAGAGCCATTAAAAAGAAAGCTCATAAAGCAGCCGAAGCTCATATCAAATTAACACAGTCATGATTAAAATCACTTCTGATTTCTGCTCTTCATGGAAATAATCAGCATTTTGCATAAAAATGAATAGGAAGCAACTGAAGAAGCCCCAGTCATGCTAAGACCAGCACAGCACTGCCATGTCTATTGCTAGCCTGCCTGAGATGCTGTACACATGTGCTTCCACCCCAGCAGCAGGTACGAAAGACACGTCAGGGCCCCTGCAGAGGCCAGGCTATTCAGCAGTGCAGTGGCAAAGAGGATTGAAGTTCTGTTGTTATTCCTATTGGCTCTAAGGGGGAGGACCTGCATTCTAAGCTGGCCTGAGGGAAGCTTCTATTTTATTTTCTATTTTTCTATTTTAATGTTGTCACTTCACAGTTTAATGGCTTCTGGCATTTGTACACAGATCTACTCAGCTTTGGCTCTCAGGAAAAAAATGAAGTAATTAGAACAGAACAGGCACACACGGACAAACACGTCAGCAACTCGTTAAGATGAGGAGAACACATTAAAAACTTTCAAGGAAACAAAGAGATTTTCTCCCAGCAGGTCTAGAGCCCACATCCTTCTCCTTAGAATTACTGACACCACGAAGAGCACTGCGTTAATCCCCAGCGTCACAGCACTGGTTAGTGACCCTGCTCAGACACAGGCTCTAACACGGAGAGCGTGAGAGAAGCGATCACGGCACTACAAAGGGCCAACTAGCATTGTTACTGCGGTCGTAGCACGTGGACGAAGACAGAGGTTTGGGGTGCACTGAACAGCCACCACAATACTGGCATTTACCCAGGGGTGGTGGGTGAAAGCGCCATTGAGGGGAGCTAGCCCTCAGACCCTCCCGCTCTGCCTGAGGCCCTGCCCCGCTCCTTCCGCTGGGTAGGCAAGGAATGCTATAATGTCTGCAAAGAAAATCTAAGAATTAGATCAGTAGTCAAGACCGCATCATGAAACCAACCACTTAAAATGTTTTTTATATATGTTATGTATTGAAAACAGATAACAATTACACTCTGTATAAATAAAAGTACTGAAAGATAAGATGCCTTTGATTCAATTTGCCTTTAAAGTATGAAATAAAAGGACATTCTCATATATCCTACCAACTAATTTAGCACATAAATCACAAAAAATGTGATCCAGATGGACTTCGGTGAAGGAAACCAATCAACAAAGACAGCCTCATCATCTGACACATTAGTTGTAATAATAAAAAACAAACAGCATGGTCAAACAATAAGGCTCTGCATTATATCTGACATTTCTAATTAGTTTCTGCAATCCTCCTCAACAAAAAGACTAACAGCAAGTATTTTGTTTTCTAGAGGAATGTGCACCTGAACTTCGTGTTTATCGAGTGAAGTCTATGGCTGAAGCAGATTCATCTGCATTCCCATGGGATGTGCTCTGGAACTAATGGACTTTGTACAGTCCACATCTGGTTTGCCAATTAGGTTCAGAGATCACTTGCTTTCAACTGCTTTGACATTAGAACTGTGCCAGACTTGGAATACAAAGTGCCCCTGAGTATTCCACAGATAACTGACCTGTGTCTATGGGCTTAGATCAGTGGGGTCATCATTGTATGATTCCCCCCTAACCCCCCCCCCCGCCGCCCTTTTCACAGCTGTCCTAGAAATACTACCTCTAGAGCACAGCATAGTATTTCTGGCAAGAAACTCCAAGCATAAGGCAGTCAGAGTTGCAGCAGGCACTTGCAGGCTGAACTGAAATTAGCATGACACCAAAACGGTTCCATCCTGTAAAAACTTACCTAGGTACTTCTTCAAAGTGCCTACTCCTGCATTAGGAATACTGGTGTTAGAATGGGCATGTAGCATTGAGCCCGCAGAGCCAAACCTGAACGCTCCTGAGCTCCCATTAAAATCAATGGGGCCTCTTTGGCTGAGGTTTTAGTGAAGAAGCATTGCAGCGAACGTGTGCAGAGAGCATTTGCAAAAGGGGCTCAGGCACGATCCCCACAGATCAGGCCCCAACTTTTTTAATTTGCTTCCTTTCAAGAGATACCGAAGGAAGAATGTGAGTTCTGTGCTACTACAGTGCAGCCTAAAAAGAGCAGGAGTTCAGAAGTCCGTGTTGTAACACTGAATAAAGTCTGGTTTTTAAATCAGATTTTAATTGCACTTTAATTTTAATTTAAAATTAAACCGTTTTGAAAAAAAGCCGACTGCTTTTTGGCAAACATTCAGAAATAAGCACAACCTAAATGCAGAAGCTCTCAGGTTTGGGCCATGAGGGCTCAACCCTGCATACACATTCTCACACAAGTGCTCCTGATGGGCGAACAGACACCTTCAAGAAGTAAGTAGGGTTTTGTTTTTAAAGCAGAATAAATAAGTATTCTAACCAATGCAAAAAGAAACCAGGAATACACTTTTCTATTTAAAACAAAAGGAAATTATTTTCTATATATCGCTTCTTTCAAAGCAAAATACCTTTTCAGTCTTCAAATGAGCATGGAATAATTTTGACAGCATGGGAAAAGGAATTACAACACCTGACACAAATGAGGGGTTGCACAGTGTCCTACCATCTCCACTTCCCACAACTTCAAAAGGCGAGTGGCCTGGCACCAGAACTTCACATGTTCTTTCTTCCACAATAAAAAAACTCTCTCCTCCATGCATCCGATGAAGTGAGCTGTAGCTCACGAAAGCTCATGCTGAAATAAATTGGTTAGTCTCTAAGGTGCCGCAAGTACTCCTTTTCTTTTTGCGAATACAGACTAACACAGCTGCTACTCTGAAACCTCTCCTCCTTGTGAATACCAGCATTGCCAAATGAGAGAGAGATGGCAACATGTGTTGAAATACATGTGTTGCCAGTTTATTATCATCATCACATGAGGTCCTAGAGGCTGCAACAGAGATCGAGTCCCTATCATGTGAGGTGCTGTCCAAACACATAGTAAAAGACACTCCCTTTCTCAAAGAGCTTACAGCCTCCATAGGCAAGACAGACAAACGGTGGGAGAAAAGAAGGACTTCTATCCATAGTCTCCAGATGGGAAAATGAGGTAGAAAGATTCAAGAGGAGATTGTCAGAGGCACAAATGTTTGCGTTTCCAAAACTCTCCCCCAAATCACACAGGAGGAGCCTGGGAATGAGCCAAGGTCTCCTAAAATTTCAGCCCAACACCTCATCCGCAAGGCCATCTTTCCTGTCTATACACAAGCATTCAGCATAAGTCCATTGTTTGCAGACAAGATTCACAGCCATGTTACACATCTTTAATGTATACTGCAACGAAGAGTTTATCCAATACAATGGCTTGTATGTAGTGCCTTCCATCAGAGATCATTAGTTATATGTCGCGGTAGAAAACCTACAGTCCATACTGCAAACTATCAGCAAAGTTTAGTGACAAGGCAAATAAATGACATTTATTATTCATTGTGTGTATTACCATAGTGCGTAGGAGCCCCAGTCATGCCCAGAGCTCCGTGGCAGCAAAAACACGAAAGCAAAAGGCAGTGCCTGCCCCGGAGATCTCACAATATAAACATGAGACAGGAGATAAGTGGATACAGAGAAACGGGAACACAGGGAAACAAAAAAACTATTGATGACGGATAGCAGTCCCAGCCTGCCAGCTGCGTAACCATTGTTTGCTGCAGGCATCATGGCAAAGGAGAGCTGTAAGGAGGATTTGAAGGAGTACAACGAGGTGGGTCTGCAGATGTTTACAAATTGCTCCTCTCGTGCGTAAAAAGTGGCCTGGGAGAAAGCACAAAGGTGCTTGTTTGAAAATGTAACAAGTGGGTGATGAGGGCTGGCACCATTAGCCGAGCAGCGGCGGGAGCACATGCGAGATGACAGGCAATCAGCCGTGAAGGACCTGAAAACGGGACATGTCAACGGATGGAACATTGCAGTGCTCCTGATGCCTCTCACACTACTGCAATCCATTCTTCTGCAAGGACATAAACATTTTCTCTTTCCACTCACCTCAACAGGGAATCTCTTGCCATTGATGCTGTGCTCAGAGCCAGCGGATCCATTGCTCTGACCCCAATGAAATTCCACTTTTTCTGCTTTGAATCTACCTGGCAGCCCAGCACCGCTGATGAAATAATCGTCCTTCAGAAGGATAGCGACTGCACACACAAGACAAAGAGAGGGACAAGATTTTGAGTGTATTTTTGCGATAGTGTTTATGATGATTGATGCACAGTTGCTGGTTACAGTGGCTTTCTTTTTCTATCCATATGCAAATCCATGAGGATAGGAAAAGCACTAATACGAGCAATGCAGGTGAATTAGGGAGAGATCAATCCCATGGAAACAATGGGAGATTACTAAAATTTCTCCATAATCTCAGAGAAAACCTCCTAACTGTAAGAACAGTAGGACAATGGCGGTTTCCAATAGGAGGCTGGATAGCCATCTATGTTGGATGGCATCTTGGCAGGGGGTTAAACTAGATGATGCTTGCAGTCCCTTCTAGCCCTATGGTTGTATGACTCTATAATGCCCTCAAAAACATGAGCAAAGAGGAACCTTCTTATCTTATCTAGCAAAACAATTACTACAGTACCCTTCACACAGCTGTCTGACTCCCCACGCCTCAGCCCTGCTCCACCTGAACTCTCCTGATGGGTGAGGAGGGGCTCCGCTCCACCAGTGGGACTTACAGAAATGGACTGATGGGGAAGCAAAGCTGTCATGTGAACAAGGATCTTCCTCCCTCGCCATCCATAAGTAATCCAACCCCCTCGTTCCCTACACTGGGCCCAGGGCAGGAGAAATCCTACAGTTCTTCCAGAGGGGGAGAAATGGGACCCATGGATGGAGGAGGACCCACAGATGGAGGAAACAGATTTTCTAGGTGGGGCATATTTGCAGCTGGCATCTTCCTCCAATCTGTCCTGGGAGGAGGTATCTTCACCCCAATACACCTGTCTTATCCCTGCCAACCATGTGATTCTGCCCTAGGGTAGCCAGAAGAGATTAGCATTATACTGCCATTCTGAAGGGGATTCCCCACTGCAGTATGGCCTTCATCACACAGAGGCATCAGGGACACGATTCAGGCCTATATTTTCCATCTATGGGCTTTATACAAGCAAACAACGTAACCCTGTGTATAACTTCAAGCACGTGAGTAATCTCACTGCAGACAATAGGCTTATTTACATAAAGTTATGCACATGCTTAAGGGCTTTGCTGGGTCTGGACTATGGTGCAGGAGGACTCTATTTCAAACTTGCCTTCTGAGGCACTGTGTTAAGAGTTTATTTCTCTAGCAAGGGAGTCTGCTTTCATTAAAAAGCAATTAGCTGCATTAAGGCACAGAGATAAAAGGATGGTGTCTGCCTGGAACGATCAAAGGGCACTTTGCATGAAATGCCATTCTTTAGAATTCAAAGGGAGGGTCATCAGAACTTTCCACTTTCCAGGTGTGCAATCAACACAACCGTGGAGCTGAGTGTATCTGTTGGAGGAGTGTTTGAGACACAACATAACCTTGCAGGACAGGCAGACACAACCTCAGCGAGCCTCCCCTAAACGCCTCCTCCAAACTGCGCTCCCCTATCTCAGGGTCTGTCCACCCAAGGAAAGCTCTTCACCAGCAGTAGCCTACTTGAGAGTGACCACAGCGGTGAAGACAGCGCAAAAGAACCTGGGTATGTACTCAGCTTGTTAGCCTGCTCTAAAGCCCTTGCCGTGCTGACTTCACTGCTAATGTTACCTGCACTAGCTGGGTTCAAGCTAGCTCGAGTAGGCTACACCGTGCAGAGCTTTTGTTTGCTGTGTAGACAGACCCTCAGATGAACTAAATTTGGCCCCTCCACACCTCCATCTCCCCCCTTTACATTCACTTTCCTTAACCCCTCTCCTGTTTAATTCTTTATTGGTTCTTACACTGTGCTCCCCTCTGTGGTATCTGAGCACCTCCCAGTAGTGCCTCAGGCAATGCAAGTCATGTCTGTTACATGTGCCCTCACCATTAATGTACTGTTTAAAGTAAGGGCTAAATATTTAACTTCCATAGTCATTTGTATTTGACATAGCAGTAGCAGTCAGAGGCCCTAACAGAGAGCAGGGTCCCATTGTGTTAGGCACTGCATGTATACTTAGTCCCGACCCCGGTGAACTTATAATGAAAGGTTGGAGATAGGAAGTATTATTATGTCCATTTTATAGTTGGGGAACTGACACACAGAGAGATTAAGTGACTTGGCCCAAGTTCCCAGAAGAAGTCTGGAGAACTGAGAATTAACTCCAGGTCTCCCAAACCCCTGTCTGTTGTTTTAACTACAAGATCATCTTTCATTTCTATTCCTCCCCTTTTTAGGAGATACAGGGGACCAAGTGAAAGTTTCTTACAAAAATTCCCCTTACAAAACCCCTGTTTAACAATAAAAGGGATTTTTTTTATCTATTTATAATAGTTTTTATCCCAAAGTAGTTCTCCTAAAAGTAGCTAGGGAGCAGCACCTACTGCGTTTGGAACCTCAGGATGAAAAGTTTCCATGAAAAACACAGCCAACGAGTATTCAGGCATTCTTAATCAAACTGTGTCATCACAACAGACGCAGATGAACTCAAATCATATAAATCCATGTTTATTATGTGCCAATGGAAAAGTTTTACTCAGTGCCGAAAAACAAACAGGATAGTTATGAAATAATGTGAAATGGAAATCATACAGGCTAGAATCTCTCCTGTACTGAAGCTGTGTTCAGCAGAGGAGCAGGTGCAGGTATGTGAGGGAGCTAGTTACACTTCCCTGATTTCCAGTGTCAGATCTAGCCCTGATGCAATTACAGCAGCCCAGCAGCACCTCTAAAGTTGCACCACTGATATAGTGGAGCTCTGTTCCTTATTCTCCTGACACATCCCTCTCAATTTGTCCAGGTGGCTTGGGGAAGTATACGGGGCAGGAACTAGCTGCAGCCTCTACTGGTACAAGCAGGGAGTTCACCTGCAACAGGGGAAATTCGCTGCTCACCACCTACAGACTATTTGCACCAAATCTGGCCCTCCATCTTTATTCTAAATTATGCCCATTAAATCAAAGAAGTGACTGAAAGCACCACACCTTTCTTCCTCCCTGAAACATCTCACTTGCTTTTTAAAATACTGCAGACTGTATTCAATCGGTTATAAATCCCACACATAAAATTGCACATGATGAGGAATCCGAGAAAGCAGATTCAAGTGCATCTGTTACAATGCACAGTGGGGATTTCGGTTGCATCTTATAAATATTTGATAGTATCTAAATCATTTATGGCTCTGTCAGGGGTCATTTTACTTGTTTTAGATGAATAATTAAAAGGATAATTAGGAGGACGTACAATCTGAAATGTTCATCTAATTGTTCGTTTTACAGTATTTCTTACTACCCGGTGTCATAGGACATGTGCACTCCACCATCTCCCTGCCTCAGCAGCACTCTGTTACGGCCAACAGATTTTCCTGAATGTAAACTATTTCTAGCATTATCCAGAACCACAATATTCAAGTACCACAGTATGAGACTTCTTGACATTTTGTCTTTACACAATGATTTAGCCAGGGAACACAGTAGAAAAATCAGCCCATTGAAAGTCATTTCAAAGTAGGCAGGCCATTCGTCCAGCTTTAAGCCAAACAGTCCTGTTTTTCAAGGTGTGTCCCCTGTTCCACACTGAGACAAAACTGGACTTGGAGCGTGACTTCACACATGCAGGTATGTGAGGTCATGTGGGGAGAGGCGGGCAGAGGGGGGTCACACAGACGGGGGGGTGGGCCCATACTGTTTCTGGAAGGACTGGAATGTCCAGTATTCTGGGGGTGAGTGGCCACCCTATTTCAAAGTACAGTATTGCTAATATCCAGACTTAGATTTAAAAATACTAGGGAATGCAGAGCTAAGGCTGCAGACATCTGGACTGACAACTGTACGTAACATACCCTTTCTTATGAAGATTGCAGGGATCTCAGAACACCGTATACAATTCCATCAAAAAATTGCAACATTAAGAGAATGTTAAGGTTGCATGTTTAAAGGAGACAAGAGTTAGGAAATGCTAACATTGAAGTGGAGTTCCCTAGGGTTTTTTGGTTTTCAAAGAAGATAATAGAAAAACCAGAATTACAGAATGTGGAGTTACTGGACTTACACATCACCAAAATCCCCTTCTCAATAGTTCACAGGATGGCTCCCTCAACCTACAAGCCTTAGGAGATGTGTGGCTTTTACCATGCAAGGTGTATTATGAATTCGTTTACTCTCTGCTGCAAATTTAGCTGCACACTGAATGCTTGGTGCATCCTACCTTCTCTCTGAACGCTGCTATGAAGGGTTGAAAGAGCATGCCAACAGTACTATGCATACATAAGCATGGTTTTCAGTGGGTTTAATCTGACCAATTTTCACTGGAACATGAAGGGCAGTTCTCCCAATTCAGACTATTTCCACATCAATTTTCAACTCTCTTTCTCGAGGTAGTTTGTGACCAGAACAATCAAAAATAGAATTTTTCCATGAAGAGGAAAATGTATTTTTTCTACTCTCCTGATGCTCTGAAACCCGTGGATTGTTTTTGCTCATGCAACCCACTGGTCAGGATGTGCTGTATAGTTTCCCTCTCCTGATCCACAGAAAACAGGGGTCTGTTACAACATACAGCTGCCAAAGCCAGCTCTTTAGTTCAAGCTGTAGAGGCTCGTAATTTCAATGCCAGAAATTACTTGTTCATTCCCCACTGTGTCAGCCAAAAAGGTGACCCTGGCATGTTAAAACTAATGAACAAAAACACCCTTCTTGCAATTATATTTGGTAAGTTCCATTCCAAAAGGGAAGAAATTTGTCAAGTTCTAAGTGACTAGGGGTTAGAATAGCAATGTTTATCAGCAATAGTAGGAGGTGCTGCTCCCACTGGAAAACCTAGGAACAACAGAACATACATTAAAAATATTCAGCCTTAGGGCTGGTCTGCATTTCATGGTTTTAGCAGCATAGCTATCTCAGTAAAAGCCATAGTGTAAAACAGTGATACTGGTATAACTGTGCTGACAGTTATGCCAGCCAGGGAAACCGGCCTCAATTATACAAGATACGCACTATTATACTGCATCCACACTACAGAGTTTTGCCCTACCACTATAACTAAATCCTCCTAAAGTAGACAAGGCCTTAACTGAATTTATTTGCATATTCACATTGAAGTCCTGCTTTCTTATGGGTTACCATACGGTTCTTTATCTCCTAGGGCAAACCCAGTACTGCAGAGCTCACACAGCAACTGTAGCCACATGCATTTCAAATGTAACTTTTTAGTACATAAAAAGTAATTTCTTTCCTTTTTAAGGAAAATATTTTAGTAATGTATCAGCAAAACCAATATCTGAGTCAGGTGTTTCCTGGCAGTTAGAGTGTCTAGGCTAAGAGCAACAAGGAGTCTGGTGGCACCTTAAAGACTAACAGATTTATTTGGGCATAAGTTTATGCCCAAATAAATCTGTTAGTCTTTAAGGTGCCACTGGACTCCTTGTTGTTTTTGTGGATACAGACTAACACGGCTGCCCCCTGATACTAGGCTAAGAGCCTTTGACTTTGCCTTGGAACCTCACCTCCTCCACCCAGAGTATAAACTGCTAAGAAATGCCCTGCTTGTGTCACTATTGCTTAAATAGACATTTAGTTGATTGACTGTGTCAGTATGTAATATAAAGGTCTTATGGGGCCAGCTGGTTCCATGATTCTTGTGCCAAAAAGCATAGCAATTGACTACAAAATCTGCCACTACCTTCTACCTATCCTACTTGGTTTGCTGCTGCACCACACTTCCAATTCAGAATTCCTCCCAGCAAAAACATCCTGCAAACCCAGGGAATGGGGTGGGGCCTGAGAAAATACGGGAGGAGCGACTGGTGCTCAGGCAGCATGTTGACAGACTCAGCACAATGCCTTAGAATAGACATCAAAGCTAAAAAGACTGTGTGCACACCTCTGAGAAAAGGACATACGGTACTACATAAAAGGGACAGCTGATCACTGATGTTCTGAGAGGTGTTAGCCTGCCAGCAAAAATCCACACCCCAGTGTGAACAATTCAAACATAGTAGCAGTGTCAAGTCTGGTGCCTTTAAAGAAACCAGACTGCTCAGGACAAGCAGGGCTCTTCAGCCTTGGTAGGCAGCCCGCCTGGGAGCAGGAATCCCAAATTCAAACCAGGGGTGCCATGCCCCTCAGATCAGATAATCATCCTTGTGCGACAATAACAGTGGCTGATGGAGAGGGGATGGCCACCACCTACATTACTGTGCAGGAAACACGGAGGACAATTCCTGCCCATGCGTTGTGCTTACTGTTCATTGTGGTGGGACTCTATGGCACTTTGCAATATGTGTGAAAAGCACACAGAGCATGTGAGGAAAGGCATGGCCTTCATTTCTGCCCACAAGAAACTTGGAAAAACTCCCTGCATATTCCTGTTCCTGCTACACATGCAGCTAGGCAGCTATCAGCGTCTTCCCTCACACACTATCCAGCGTTCGGTTTTTCTTTCTGTTTCTAGCGATACCAGTTGCTGGTTACTACAAACATTTTTCCTCCGCAAAGCTGGAGGGCAGGGAAGGTAACATACAAGGTATATTTAAGTAGTAAGCTATTGTAGACCTCAGCCCTTCCAGAATCATTTTGCTACAAAGAGGACACATAGCTCAGAGTATCGAAGAAGGTACAAACATTTCTGACTGTAGGAGAAAACTGTACACATTCACTTTTATTGATTTTTTTTAAATGTACCCAAAGGACAAAGGACACATTTCCATTTTAAGAGGAAAACTACATTCTTCCCCTTTCTTTTTTTTAATTATGAAACAACAGTCATCGAGGAGGTATGGGCTAAAGATTGAAGCAGAGGACTGGAAATTGGGAGATGCCACAGACTTTTTATATGATGTTGGGCAAGTCATTTAACCCTTCAGTTTCAGTGAAGTGGGATGCTGCTACTTATCTACCTCAAAATGACAAGGGGAGGCTAAATGATTGACATTTGCAACAACATTAACAACAATAATATTTGCAGTTGTCATTTGCATCTGGAGACTCCTAGACGAGAGACACAATAGAATTGTAGAATATCAGGGTTGGAAGGGACCTCAGGAGGTCATCCAGTCCAACTCCCTGCTCAAAGCAGGACCCATCCCCAATTAAATCATCCCAGCCAGGGCTTTGTCAAGCCTGACCTTAAAAACCTCTAAGGAAGGAGATTCTACCACCTCCCTAGGTAACGCATTACAGTGTTTCACCACCCTCCTAGTGAAAAAGTTTTTCCTAATATCCAACCTAAACCTCCCCCACTGCAACTTGAGACCATTACTCCTTGTTCTGTCATCTGCTACCACTGAGAACAGTCTAGAGCCATCCTCTTTGGAACCCCCTTTCAGGTAGTTGAAAGCAGCTATCAAATCCCCCCTCATTCTTCTCTTCCACAGACTAAACATCCCCAGTTCCCTCAGCCTCTCCTCATAACTCATGTGTTCCAGTCCCCTAATCATTTTTGTTGCCCTCCGCTGGACTCTTTCCAATTTTTCCACATCCTTCTTGTAGTATGGGGCCCAAAACTGGACACAGTACTCCAGATGAGACCTCACCAGTGTCGAAAAGAGGGGAACGATCACATCCATCGATCTGCTGACAATGCCCCTACTTATACAGCCCAAAATGCCATTGGCCTTCTGGGCAACAAGGGCACACTGTTGACTCATATCCAGCTTCTCGACTATTGTAACCCCTAGGTCCTTTTGTGCAGAACTGCTGCCTAGCCATTCGGTCCCTAGTCTGTAGCGGTGCATGGGATTCTTCCGTCCTAAGTGCAGGACCCTGCACTTATCCTTATTGAACCTCATCAGATTTCTTTTGGCCCAATCCTCCAATTTGTCTAGGTCCCTCTGTATCCTATCGCTACCCTCCAGCGTATCTACCTCTCCTCCCAATTCAGTGTCATCTGCAAACTTGCTGAGGGTGCAATCCACACCATCCTCCAGATCATTTATGAAGATATTGAACAAAACCGGCCCCAGGACTGACCCTTGGGACACTCGACTTGATACCGGCTGCCAACTAGACATGGAGCCATTGATCACTACCTGTTGAGCCCGACAATCTAGCCAGCTTTCTATCCACCTTATAGTCCATTCATCCAGCCCATACTTCTTTAACTTGCTGGCTAGGACACTGTTTGAGACAGCAGAATCAGAACCAGAAGTTATTTTCTCCTCCAATCCATACCAGACAAATTTTAATAACACTTGTCAAAGACTGTATTTGGTGTCCTACCTCAGATTGCTCTCACCACTGGTTTGATACGCTACCTCCCCGCTGGGGCCTGATTCTGCACCTTCCGCTCCCTTCAACTTCACCTCTTAGGACAGGGCCTTACTGGCAGATGTATCCGAAACACCTCTCACCTCTGGCCATCCAGAGTTCGTGTGTGAACACAGCACCGCCATGGCATTGTCTACCTGATGCTTTCTAGAATGGTTTATCTTTCCATTCTTTTGCTGGTTTCCTTCAAATGTCATAGTAATATTCTTACAAAGAATCTGATTGATTAGATACAGTCCTATTTTTGATACTTCAGGTACTTGTATGGTTTCTACCACCATCTGCGTATCCGAGTGCCTCCCAATCTTCAATGTATTTATCCTCACAACACCTCTCTGTGGCAGGGCAGGGCTATTATCCCTGTTTTACAGATGGGGAACTGAGGCACTGGGAGGCTAAGTGACTTGCCTAGGGTCACATAGGAAGTCTGTGGCAGAGGAGAGAAATGAACCCCATTTTCCTACAAACCCAGCTGGCACCCTAGCCACTGGACCCTTCATTAACTAGAGGAAGTCTCAAAATCTCTATGTAGGCCAAAGGATTCTGAATTCAATAAATGAGGCAAAATGGATCTGTGGCTAGTATCTAGGGCTCTAATCCAAAGCCCAATGAATTCAGTGGAAGTACTCCGAGTCTGTGCTACAACCCCCTGAGGTATGACATCTACTGCATATGTGAGCAGACCCTTAACTAGAGAAACATGATATAAAGTACTTCAGAGACACATGTTGAATATTAACAAGGATTTAAAAATAGATTTAATAAATAAAATTGAATTAATTATAGATTTAATTCAATTACCTAAAAATTCTTGACCTTGACAACTGAGGAGGCAGACCTTATGATTTCTGCTTTTCACAATTTCAGTATTCAAGTGCAAGCAAATGCAAATAACTTTGTAGATAAATTAACCTTGACCTTTAGGTGAACCATTGAATTTTTGGTACAAATAAGCAACGTCTTCAGACTGTTCTTTTATAAAACAATTATAAAAAAGGGCCAGAAGAGAAGTGCAGTTACAGTGCAGTATTCGGGGCTGTAATAGTATCCACAAGATATTAATCACTACTACATCACTTTGCCCATCTATTGCCCTTTCTGCGTGAGAACCTCCTAACTCCTAGTCTTTTCTTTTATTCACAAGAATACCTTTGAGCCTTGCATTTTGGCACTCTTCACTACTGGATGCTATAGCCTCCCTTAGCGGGTAATTCAAGGTTACACCTTCTAACTCTCACACAGAGAGTTACAGGTCTTTACTGTGATATTCATTTGGCTGCCAAGAAAATGGTTTATACGGGGGATGAACTTAAAAAACTGTTAAAAACTGATCTACTGCACTAATTCTGCACAGAATGCAGAGATAGCGGCCTGGCAACTTATATTGGGAAGTTCTCACGTTAGGATTAAACAGAACAATGGGATGTCTTTGTGGGTTTGTTTGTTTTTTAAATTTATGGCTTGAGTTATTAATTGATTGAAGGCAGGCTTACGGAGACCAACAGGAAAGAACATACCAGTTTTCCCAGTGTTTTTCATCCATGTCTTGTTAGAGGATTCGTTGTCAAAACCATCAAGCTGTAATTCTTGATATTCATCTCCCACACGTGCCTGATGGTCTATGATGTTTACTGGAGACTGGTGAGTGCCTCCACAGTCCACACTTGAAGTAACCCAGTGCTCAGGACCATAAGTACCTGTTAAAAGAAAAGACCAACAACTTATTGTTCTGATGGGCCAACAGTTACAAGACTATCCTTAAGTAAGGCAGCAAGCATTTTAGTTCCCAAGGTAACTACACTGCTGCTACATTTCCTGCATGCAACCTACGAAGAGACTGAAATCCATTAACTTTATACAGTGCTCAAATTTTGCTTCTTGCAATAAGCAACAATACTGTCATTTTAAATTGCCCTTCTATAAAATTATCTGCAATTCACCAACCCTTTCATGACCGACTTATGAGTCAGTATGATGTTACAGGAACTTTCAAATAGCTAGAGAAAGAGTAGGAAGTTATGTAGCTTACCTGTTTGCATTAGATAATTAATATACTAATAAGGCATTAACTCTAGTTTGTGTGACAGGTTAAGATAATACGACCTTAAATAACTGCTATTTTATTTGAGGTTCTAAAAGCAGGCAACGGGGGGAGAACTTCATTTAAATCAACTGAGAAATTAAGTGTGAACAAACTTGGGTAGTACAAAAAATAAACTACAGGAAGGAGAAATGGTAGAGGAGAGTAACAGCACAGAACTGTCTTCTACCATTTGTCCTTTTTCATGCTTTTATTTTTCTCACTACTCAAATTTGTTTTCACATAATTTCTCAGCTGATTAAATTACTCTTCCAAATCTCCCCCCAAAGTCAAATAGTAGCAGTGTGATGCACCATGGATAGATCAGCAGTGTCTTGCATACATATCCGTACACCTTGCACAGCAGTGTTTGCTTGATATAGGATAGCTAGCCAACCACAGAAACAGTGCCAGGAACTGACACTTCTCCATCCTCTCTCCCCCCATTTTTATTTTTATACAGCAGGAAGGGGATTTTTACAGTTTGTAAAGTGAGATAATTACCTGAAAGGGGGTTCCAAAGAGGATGGAGCTTGGCTATTCTCAGGGGTGGCAGATGACAGAACAAGGAGCAATGGTCTCAAGGTGCAGTGGGGGGAGGTCTAGGTTGGATATTAGGAAACACTATTTCACTAGGAGGGTGGTGAAGCACTGGAATGGGTTACCCTAGGGAGGTGGTGGAATCTCCATCCTTAGAGGTTTTTAAGGCCCAGCTTGAAAAGCCCTGGTGGGATGATTTAGTTGGTGTTGGTCCTGCTTTGAACAGTGAGCTGGACTAGATGACCTCCTGAGGTCTCTTTCAACCCTAATCTTTTATGATGGGCAGCGATGCAACACCATGCTTTTGAGTGTCTCTAGACTTCCGACTGTCAGAAGCTGGGTCTGGACAACTGGGGATGGTCCTGTTGTGATGTCCCAGGTCTTGAACCCAGGCCTGGGAGTCCCCAGCCAGCTGCCACAGCCTGGCATCCATCATTTTCAGCTTATACTCTTAGTAAAAGCCACTTTAAATGAATTCCCAATTAAAGGGAACTCAATTATTAAATCCTAAACATGTTCTGTTTCTAGAGGGACTTTCCTTATCAAAAGTGTTCTAATGCATAACTGTTTTGTGGCGTATTAGTTGGCTACTTAGATAGCCTACAAGCAAGTTTGCATTAAAATGACAATGAAATTTGTGTTACATTTCAAAATGTAAGGCCCAGTAGTGCAGATAACTCTCAAGCTATCACGTGTTGGTATTGTTACAAATTCAGACAAAGATCTGGATTTCCAGTGTTCACCATGGGCCTAACAGTCCTTCCACTGAAGACAATGGGAGTTATACCACTCAAATAGGAATTAGTAGCTTTTGAAAACCCCACCGTCTCCCGCAGGGCTGCAATGCAGTGCCCCCTGCTGGGCCAAGCTTGGCACTGCAGGCACTTGCTGCCTCAGTTCACCTGTTGTGGTAGCCCACAGTGTAAGCTCAGTATCAGTCTTTGAAGAGTCAAACAGTAACAAACTCAGAATTTGACGGGCTGCTCCTACAAACAAACAAACATACATCAAAGGCAAGTACTTGAAGCTAAGGCCCTGGGATTCTGGGCTAGTTCTGAGGCACCCCTCCTCTGCCACAGTCTCACTTAGTGCTCTTGAGAAGAAGCATGTAGGCCGTCTTAACTGGCCTTCTGGATCCCAATTTGTCACTGTCTCCTCCTGGCCCTTCTTGGCCTCTGGAGGATTGTGTCTTGTTGGTAGCTTGGCCTGAGCGGGTTGTCCCTGAGCAGGCGGGTGTCAGATTGCCAATGCCTCCAGCTGGGGGCAAAGAAGGCCTGAGAGATCGCATTGCACCCACCCACAATGCTTTGGTGACCATTGCAATCAGTGGGAGATTTGCCTGAATAAGGACTGTAGGGTTGTTCCTTTATGGACATTTGCAAGGCACATACCTTTTCAAAAATCAGAACGGTTGACTAATTTGCAGAGAAAATGTCTTGTTAATTTGATTTGACATATGAGTAAAATTTTCCAAAGTGCCTAAGTGACTCAGCAAAACTAAGTCCCATTTTTAAAAGTGACTTAGGCACTTTGGAGCATAAGTCCCATCGACTTTCAATGAGATTTATGCTTCTAAGGCCTAGATGCTCACAGATATTTAGGTCCCTAACTCCCCTGGGAACCTAAGTCACAACTGAAAGCAGGATTTGGGTTCCTAAATCGTCTACAGGATTTTAAAAATTTTACCCTCTCTGTATTGCTTTAATAATTGATAATCTCCTTCTAGACAATTACCAGCTCCCTTTGGATCTAAATCTAGGATTTACTAATGGAAGTGCAGCTGCATCTTTATGTAGTAGTATTATTGTTATATGCATAAAATGCTTCCATACTGGTGCTGAATTATTAAAAAAAAAAAGTAATGCAATAACACACTGAGCAATTCAAACCCACAACTGAAAGCTGTGCTGTGGTTGAGAGTCCTGCCATTGCATATTACTGTCACAAGGCTAAGTTTAAGACTTGCTATTTAGAATCACCATGGGATTTTTTTAAATTGGGGATTTTTCATTAATTTTCTTTCAGAACTTTTTGAAACGCTCTAGTTCCACTAACTGACCGTTTTCACTGCATGCAAGCGTGGCATGCAAATTGCTACACACAATATGATCGGCACTATAATGGCAGCAATTGTTGATAGTGAGAAATGTAGGGCCAGATCCCACCGTTGGTGTAAAGCAGCATAGTCCCATTGATTTCAATGGAGCTATGCCAAGTTTTAGCAGCTGAGGTTGTCCCCCATACCATTTTTACAGAACAGTTTGAAAAGACAATAAAGGGGACACATTTTTCTTTTAGATTTTGAGAATCGGGGTAAATAAATAATACTTCACACTCAGGAAAAATTAGCTTAACACCCTGTAAAAATGTAATCAAGAGGTTAGCCCACACAGATTTATTTATACGCTCATAACCATCAAAAGGTTTAAGTGTAACAGCTTGCTTTTTTCCATGTACATTCAAGTGGAGTTTTAATTGAAACTGATCTTCCACTACAGATTTCAAATTAATTCTTCTTCTAAGTGTCTCATGCTCCAGACACCCTTGCCTTGCAAAAAACCTACATCATTAGTGGAGGAAACAGAACACTTTCTAAGCTCGCAGGTATTGATTACCTATTCCCTACATCAAAGCACAATTGCCATTCTGCACTGTATAAATCTCTTTGGTGTTAGACACTTTATAAAGTACTGAGAATGATATCATTAATCATTCGCAGTTGCACCTGTCCTGCTATATTGAATTCTTTGTTTTTTAGAACTTTAAATAAATGCTTTTAAATAAAAACATGACACTAAATAAAGATTGCATTTAACTTAAACCTAGTAAAAAAAAAATCCCTGCATCTTGCGTGTGACATTTACTGGTCTGAAACAGAGAAACGTAAAACTATTTGCATTTCATTTGATCAGCAACAAGCATCGCCATTTTAATCAAGTAAAATTTGGGTTGAATTTGTATTGGGCTTTTAATGGCTGACAAATAATTCAGTGTTCAAAACTTGACACACTGGAAGCCCTCCTCTACTCACAAACAATACAAGCTTCCCCAGGAAACTCCAGGAATACATGTGAATTATAATAAAATGTCAACCACCCCTGTCCTTGAGTTCTAGTGTCAGAAGGAATATCTGCAGAGAAATATTATAGACCTGCACGGCGGTGACCTTCAGCATCATTAGTTATTAATGTTAGTACCCATTCTGTGCTAAGCACTTTCCAAGCACTCAAGGAGAATGCCCCTGCTCTGAGGAGCTCTCCATCTAACCTGAATAAGCCTTTACACTATATTGTGCTAATAAGTCCAATGAGCAACACACTACAAACATAACAGAGTAATGGCATGTGCTATGGTACAAGGGCTGCATTAACCCCCAGGCTAATGAAACAGGGGGTCAAGGGGAGTAGGAACAAGAGGATCAGGATTGGGTAACTGTTCACATAGGAGGTAGATGGGTCACCATTGGGTGAGGTGGGGGGACAGGAATCAAGAACAGAGACTTGCATGGTTTCACCCCATTTATTTTGCATCATTGGGAAGGCTTCCCGCTCTTACGAGTCATTGTACTGAGAGTTTCCCACTGAGGCCTGCATTCTCTGACTGACTGCCTTATAGACAGAGTTGTCAAGCCTTCCGGCCCTGTTTTCCTCTCCTGAGCTGACCTTCAAAACAGACCAGCTACCTGTGGAAGGCCCAGGAACTCCAAGATTTGAAATTCCTCCCATGCAGAGTGGTTTTCCACCTCCTGCCGCTGGATAGCTGTAATCGGGATCCTGTGGTGGTTAGTACTCTCTCTGACAGCTCAAGAGTTTGCTGAGCTATAGAGGTTTACAGATCTTCCATGGGCCAGCAGCCTCAGAATCTAATTTTGCATGATTGGTCTCCAGTGACTTGACCACACTCCTATTGAAGTTAATGGCAAAACTCCTGTTGACTTTAGTGGTATGGGCTCAGAGCCTAGGTCAGTAATCTTAGGAGTGCAACCATCTTTCATCATATGAATTCAGGCATCTTAAGCAACACGTAACAGTCAGGGTTTCTTTCATTTATGCTCATCAGAAACTACTTGTCGCTTCC